TGTTGTTTCGCCGCTGGATATCGGTAAAGTGAGCCATGGCCGTGTAGGAATGCCTGAAATGGCCACACACCTTCCTGGCCTGCTTCAGGACGTCCTGTAAGCCTATGTACTTATGCACAAAGCGTTGTACGATCAGATTACATGTGCCATGCACGGCACATGTGACAACTTGCCCAACTTCAATGCCGCTAACAAATTTGTTCCTGCTTGTCACACAAACCACTTTGCCGCATATTCAGTCGCGGAGTCAGCCACTTTTCCAATTCCAGCGCTCATGGCGGACAGGAGTGCTTGTCCGGTGTGACTCTCTGCTTAAGCAAGTCAAAACCTAAGACGGGCGTGACACTGCCGTATCCTGGGGATGTGGAATAGTACCTGGGGAGCTGGGGTGTGTCGCTATGGCGCTACTTCAGCAGCAGAAGAGGACTCAGCCTAGAGGCTATGGAAGAGGATGGAGTAGAGGTGAGTGAGGAGGTGGCAGCAGGACTGCTCGTAAGTCGTGGGCGGTGTCACCAACTCCTCTGCAGTGCCATGCATTCCATGCTTGGCAGCCGTCAGCAGGTTTACCCAATGCGCAGTGTAGGTGATATACCTGCCCTGACCATGCTTTGTAGACCAGGTATCAGTGGTCAGATGGACCCTTGCCCCAACACTGTGTGCCAGAGATGCTATTACTTCCTTTTGCACAATTGAGTACAGGTTGGGGATTGCCTTTTGCGAAAAGTAATTTCGGCCGGGTACCTTCCACTGCGGTGTCCCAATAGCTACAAATTTTTTGAACGCCTCAGACTCCACCAGCTTGTATGGTAAAAGCTGGCGGGCTAATAGTTCGACAAGCCAGCAGTCAGACGCTGGGCAAGGGGGTGACTTTCTGACATTGTCTTCTTACGTTCAAACATGTCCTTGACAGACACATGACTGTGGGAAGATGAGCTTGAACTGCTCAAGGCGGGAGGCGGAGTGGCGGATGGTTGAGAGGGGACAAGGAGGACAGCAGTGGTTGACGTGGCTGAAGATGCTGGACCAGGAGGAGGCTGGCGCTTAGAGTAGGCGAGCTGCTTGTACTCATGTGTTGATCCCATAGGCGTTTGTGATGTGAGATCATGTGCCTACGCAAAGCAGTTGTACCTAGGTGGGTGTTGGACTTCCCACGACTCAGTTTCTTTTGGCACAGGTTGCAAATGGCATCGCTGTTGTCAGAGGCAGACACACAAAAAAAATTCCACACTGCTGAGCTCTGCAATGGCGGCATTCTGGTGGTGGACACAGCATGCGTTGATTGGCGTGCTGTCGGGCTGACCCCGGGTGTCGATGCATGCTGTCTGACTGTGCCACTAGCTCCTTGCGACGACCTTCCCCTGCTTCCAACTCGTCTCCTCCTCCTCCCTGTCTCCCCATCTGAACTTTCGCCTGTTCTTCTTCTTGACGAGCGGGCACCCACGTGACATCCATGGACGCATCGTCATCATCAACCGCTTCACTTGTATCTGACAACTCAGCAAAGGAAGCAGCAGCGGGTACAACATCATCATCATCACACCGCACGTCCATGTGTGTAATGCTGCCTGCCTGAGACATATCCCTGTTATCTACATCCTCTGGCAATAATGGTTGCGCATCACTCATTTCTTCAAACGGATGTGAATAACTCCTCTGACATACCAACTGAAGCGGCTGTGGTGCTAGTTTTGGTGGTGGCGGCAGGCGGGTGAGTGGTATCTTGAGAGGTGCCTGAAGCTAAGCTGGAGGAGGATGGTGCGTCAAGGTTCTGAGCGGAGGCTGTAGAAGATTGGGTGTCCTGTGTTAGCCAGTCAACTATGTCCCCAGAACTTTTCAAGTTCAGGGTACGTGGCCTCTGAAAACTGGGCATTATTCTAGGGCCAAAGGGAATCACAGCACCACGACCACGATGGCCCCTGCGGGTGGCCTGCCTCTGCCTGTTTTTTGGGGGGATTAGTGGTACTATGCGTGCAAGCTACTGTGAGACCAGATATGAGTGGCAATGTGCACTGGCACAGTTGTGCAGAGCCACAGGCTGTAGGCCTGACACCTGAAGATAACTAACTGCTATTCAATCTATAACAGTGAAAAAGTTTTTGTTTTTAAATCCAAGCTATTGTGACACCAGATCTAATTGGTGGCACTTGTCAGCGATCCACTGTTAGCGTAACACACCCGCTTTAAGGACACTGACTGCTATTCAATCTATAACAGTGAAAAAAAGTTTTTTTTTAAATCCAAACTATTGTGACACCAGATCTAATTAGTGGCACTTGTCAGCGTATCCACTGTTAGCGTAACACACCGCTTTAAGGACACTGACTGCTATTCAATCTATAACAGTGAAAAAAGTTTTGTTTTTAAATCAAGCTATTGTGACACAGATCTAATTAGTGGCACTTGTCAGCGTATCCACTGTTAGCGTAACACACCGCTTTAAGGACACTGACTGCTATTCAATCTATAACAGTGAAAAAAGATTATTTTTTTTAAATCCAAACTATTGTGACACCAGATCTAATTAGTGGCACTTGTCACGATCCACTGTTAGCGTAACACACCCGCTTTAAGGACACTGACTGCTATTCAATCTATAACAGTAAAAAGTTTTTTTTTTTAAATCCAAGCTATTGTGACACAGATCTAATTAGTGGCACTTGTCAGCGTATCCACTGTTAGCGTAACACAGCTTTAAGGACACTGACTGCTATTCAATCTATAACAGTGAAAAAAGTTTTTTTTTTAAATCCAACTATTGTGACACCAGATCTAATTAGTGGCACTTGTCAGCGTATCCACTGTTAGTAACACACCGCTTTAAGGACACTGACTGCTATTCAATCTATAAACAGAAAAAAGTTTTTTTTTAAATCAAACTATTGTGACACAGATCTAATTAGTGGCACTTGTCAGCGTATCCACTGTTAGCGTAACACACCCCTTTAAGGACACTGACTGCTATTCAATCTATAACAGTGAAAAAAGATTTTTTTTTAAATCCAAACTATTGTGACACCAGATCTAATTAGTGGCACTTGTCAGCGTATCCACTGTTAAACACACCGCTTTAAGGACACTGACTGCTATTCAATCTATAACAGTGAAAAGAATTGTTTTTTTTCCTATTGTCAGATCTAATTAGTGGCACTTGTCAGCGTATCCACTGTTAGCGTAACACACCGCTTTAAGGACACTGACTGCTATTCAATCTATAACAGTGAAAAAAGTTTTTGTTTTTAAATCCAAGCTATTGTGACACCAGATCTAATTAGTGGCACTTGTCAGCGTATCCACTGTTAGCGTAACACACCCGCTTTAAGGACACTGACTGCTATTCAATCTATAACAGTAAAAAAGTTTTTTTTTTAAATCCAAGCTATTGTGACACAGATCTAATTAGTGGCACTTGTCAGCGTATCCACTGTTAGCGTAACACACCCGCTTTAAGGACACTGACTGCTATTCAATCTATAACAGTGAAAAAAGATTTTTTTTTTAAATCCAAACTATTGTGACACCAGATCTAATTAGTGGCACTTGTCAGCGTATCCACTGTTAGCGAACACACCCGCTTTAAGGACACTGACTGCTATTCAATCTATAACAGTGAAAAAAAGATTTTTTTTAAATCCAAACTATTGTGACACCAGATCTAATTAGTGGCACTTGTCAGTATCCACTGTTAGCGTAACACACCCGCTTTAAGGACACTGACTGCTATTCAATCTATAACAGTGAAAAAAGTTTTTTTTTAAATCCAAACTATTGTGACACCAGATCTAATTAGTGGCACTTGTCATGATCCACTGTTAGCGTAACACACCGCTTTAAGGACACTGACTGCTATTCAATCTATAACAGTGAAAAATTTTTTTTTAAATCCAAACTATTGTGACACCAGATCTAATTAGTGGCACTTGTCAGCGTATCCACTGTTAGCGTAACACACCCGCTTTAAGGACACTGACTGCTATTCAATCTATAACAGTAAAAAGTTTTTGTTTTAAATCAAACTATTGTGACCAGATCTAATTAGTGGCACTTGTCAGCGTATCCACTGTTAGCGAACACACCCGCTTTAAGGACACTGACTGCTATTCAATCTATAACAGTAAAAAAGTTTTTGTTTTTAAATCCAAGCTATTGTGACACCAGATCTAATTAGTGGCACTTGTCATGTATCCACTGTTAGCGTAACACACCCGCTTTAAGGACTGACTGCTATTCAATCTATAACAGTGAAAAAAGTTTTTTTTTAAATCCAAACTATTGTGACACCAGATCTAATTAGTGGCACTTGTCAGCGATCCACTGGAACACACCCGCTTTAAGGACACTGACTGCTATTCAATCTATAACAGTAAAAAGTTTTTTGTTTTAAATCCAAGCTATTGTGACACCAGATCTAATTGGTGGCACTGACTTACAGTATCACTGTGAGCCTAGCTTGACACTGACTGCTATTCAATCTATAACAGTGAAAAAGTTTTTTTTTTAAATCCAAGCTATTGTGACACCAGATGTAATTGGTGGCACTGACTGGGGAAATGGGCACAGTATGCACTGTGAGCCTGACACAGAAGCTGGCAGCAGTGGCAGACAACTGACTGCTATTCAATCTATAACAGTGAAAAAAGTTTTTTGTTTTTAAATCCAAGCTATTGTGACACCAGATGTAATTGGTGGCACTGACTGGGGAAATGGGCACTGTGAGCCTGACACAGAAGCTGGCAGCAGTGGCAGACAACTAAGTGCATTTACATTAGATAGAAAAAAAAAATCCAAAAAAAGCATACCCTTATCCCTAACCTAGCTATGCTTTTCCCTATCTTATGAACAGCAGCTACACTTTCCCTCCTCTTACTAAGCATGCAGCTTGAGAATGAATCTAAAATGGATGCTGTCCAGTAGGTGGGAGGGTCTGCTAGGGAGGCTGTGCTGCTAATTGGCTGGAATGTGTCTGCTGACTGTGAGGTACAGGGTCAAAGTTTACTCAATGATGACGAATAGGGGGCGGGTCGAACCGCGCATATGTTCGCCCGCCGTGGCGAACGCGAACATGCTATGTTCGCCAGGAACCGTTCGCCGGCGAACCGTTCGGTACATCACTAGTCCCAAATTGTGGAGCTTAACATTGGTTGATATACTAATATATTCCATTGTTCACTATAATGAATAGGACAGGTTTTATCTGCACATATCATTCATGGTTAGCTTAATTAAGTTTGTATTTTTTTTCAGAAGCTGATGCCCTGAAATGCTGGCAGGGATCCTGTACGGGATCTCGTCCTTGTTCTACAAGAAAGAGTCAAACCTGTACAGCTAATGCTAATCAATGCTTTGTTCTTCTGAAAAGTCATCCAATCTGTAAGTACTTTCACACTTGTCATCCTTACAGTGTGATGTAACCATTCATATAAATTACAAATGTCAAAGATGCACAAATAGACAGCCCTTATGTCTGTCTAGTTAGTCAGGGCTGGACTGAGGACGAAAAACAGTCTTGAAAAACAAATCTATACCAGCCCAATAATGTGTTGCATTATAATAATGTACGGATACAGATAAGGAAAAGATAACTTAAAATTAAAAACTATTTCTCCAAATGAAAGATGTTTCAGTCCAACTAACTTGACATATTAAGGAGAGTTTAGTAATGGGACTGAAATGGTGAATGCATGCTATTGCACAGCTGTAAAAAATGAAGTTATCTTGTTTATTTTGAAGTTTTAAGAGTGAGCTCTTCACTTTTCACAAACTTGATGATCTCAGCCAAACCAATGCTTTCCCATGTGAGAGGTTATACTGCACATGCGTAGCATAACGCTGCACCAATCAGCATCTCATAGAGATGTATTGAATCAATGCATTTCTATGGATAGCGTTCAGCACCAATGTAAGTTGGTCTGCAACATATGCCAATGGAAACGCTCAACGTAAGTGCTGTACTCAATGCAGCACTGGACTAGGAAGCACCTCTTGTGGTCGTCTGAGTGACTGCCACTGGAGGTGTTACTAGGCATCAATGTGTGCGTTATTTCTCCCCAGGCCATAGATCATAGCACCGGGAAAAATATTTTGCGGCAATTTATTGCTGGTCCACGAAAGCTTTCACCTGACGGTATACTCGGGTGAAAGCTTTCGCAGACTGGCAATAGATTCTTGCAGACCGGCGCCGGTCCACGGACCAGTGGTTCTAGATCACTGCACTATATGGTCGCGCACCAGCAGAAGGTATACCGGCCAGTCTAGCGCTGTTCACAGAGTGTCATATCAACATATAACAACTTTTGTGACAATAGCCCTTTGACTCTTCTCACTATTGTCAGGCAGAGTGTTCACAGACCGGTACAATTTATAAGGCTTTATTCATTGGCCAGCAGCACATCAGTCTTTTCAAGTAATGCCTGCCTTTTTTTTAAGAGCTAAGCACAGGATCATATATAAAGCTCAAGGGCTTTCAAAGATAAACTTTAAAAAAAATATTTTTTTAAATATAAAAATAGTGAAAAATATTTTATATATAAACAATATTTCACTATATCATCAATATATTAAGTCTTGAATCACTTACACTAGAGTCTGTCTCAAAGCAAAGACTTTGAGGTCCTTTGACAGATACTAGTACATGCAAAGAGAGATAATCCTATATTTGGCATTAAAATATGCACTCATGTTCATTTACTGCCCGCAGAGCACACAGCCTCACATGTCATTAACACATGCTAACACACACAGGTGTAGCACATACTGACATAAACAGGCCCACTCTCACAAATATATACTAACTAACACAGACATATTCACCCACTGATACTGCCATGCTGAGGCCTACAGGTGATTTTTCATCTTATAGGAGCACTGAACTTGTTCATTGCTTGATAGACAGACAGATATATATATATAGATATCCCACCCATCCTTGCATGGTGTGCAGATCTTCTGTTAAAGGAACATTCTCATAATCAGTTTTGTAGTTGATGTGATACATGCATGATGTCAAACCATTATTAAATTAATGGACAAAAAACACAGTTTTCCTCTGAACACATTTCACTTTAGCGAAAACCCCATTAAGCAGAGCTATATTTAATAACATCCTGGAACTGCCCTGTATGGGGATTCTTACTGGTGTCCTAATTCAGGATTATCCCTCTGCAACAGGGAGGTTTGAAAGTGTTATACATGTACATGTCTAGTACTACATCTATTTATTGATCAATAATGTATTTTCTTTCCCATCTAGTCATTTTTACTCGAGGATGTGCAACAGAAGCTAACTGTAGAATAATGCAGATGAGTGAACCCGCAACACGGTGTTGTACAACGGATCACTGCAACTAACTCGCCTAAGACTTTGGAAACTGTATGTTTATTTACTAATCATACTGAATATTGACCAAAGTTGGTGATTATTATAAATTCTCCAGCTCACCTACTTGCTACCTACACATTGGCTATGTTGATCTAAATGTTCCATATTCCTTGTTCAGTACATCACAGTTTATTGTTTTGTGAATAAAGACTAAAAATTCTTTCAGATCTACTGTGATTTCTCTGTATTATGTAACACTCCGAAATAGGCCGACAGTTTGTGTTTGCAAATGTAGCATGACTATTAACTAAAGTAATTCAAAATCTATGGCATGATCTGGAAAAAAGAGAGACAGGTTTCCATTTTTGAATTATTCAATAAAAAATGGAAACAAATATTTCTATATATTGATTGTCCAATCCATTTCTGTTTGATTTAGATAAAATTAGAAAACATTTTAGGTTTAAGTTTTCTAAGAATACAAAAATATTATTTGCAAAATGTTATTCATATATGTATTGATGTTTTTCACTGGCTATACTTACTGCATACTCCACCATGCAAGGTCACTTCTGCAATAGACAAACAATGGATATTAAGACTGCTTCAAAAAAACTGTCAAAGGTATTTGATTTTTTTTTTAAAAGGAAAGAAAACTTCACATTCAGGTAACCAATATGGGTTACAGCTCCCTGTATGCGCTGGTCCTCCCAGCAGTGGCCAAACTGCCAATCTGACATGACCCGGTTACATGAGTTGTGGCATCCATCCAGGCACCTGGTCAGAGATGCCCATCAGGTGGCCTTACGTGTGAAGGCCACCTGATGGCCGTCCCCCAACTTTTAGGCCTCGGTTCTGCCACACTGGATGCATACCTTTTATTTTCCGTTTTGTCCATATAAATTATACCAACATTCTCTGTATGTGATCAAAGTATGATTTGTCGCCATACTGTACAGTGCCCTTACCACCACCAGGAACTCCTCTGGGACTACAAACTTGCCCATGACAGCCTCCAAAAATGTCCAATGGAGACGGTCAAAGACCTTTTCGGCGTGAAGGGATATGACCAATGCCTCTCCCACGTGAAGCACATCGAGTACTTTATGTGTGTTTTCCGATCCTTTCCTCTCAGCCACAAATCCCACCTGATCCGAGTGTGTGATATGGGGAAAAATTGTGCCTATCTTTGATCTATTTTTAATGATCTAAACTCTTTTACTACTGTCTCAAAGACGTTAATATAGACCCCTACGTATTGTGTGGACAGAAGACAGATTTTGGGTGAAGGTCTGTATGCTTATAGTCACCTACATCCTGTTTGTTGGTATAATTATGTTCCTGAAAATATCTCTTAGATGTAATTTTCTGTTAAATTTATGTAAGTCTATAAAGAAATCAAATGTACGTCCCTTTTCATGTAGGAACATTTCAATTTCATTTATCGGTCTATCCAACACATTAAAAGATTTCCTTTTTTTCTCCTTATTCTCTCTTCTCTGTTTCTTGATTTGCCTTCTTTTTCAGCCACCACTCACACAACACTCACCAGCACATACAGACACACTAAGGCTCTGTAGCGTTACTTACCTTATCCAGGGGCCGGCCGCGGTCCTCTCTTCGAGCCGCGCGCGGTCCTGCTGCTGCACGAGCCGCGCGTGGCTCATCCGACGGCTTCACTAGGAAGGCGGGCAGTGACCGCAGGAAGCGGTCACGTGTCCCGCCTGAATCTAAGAGCGCGCCGCGAGTCTCGGGCGCGCTCTTAAAGAGACAGTGGGAGCCTAAATTGTTAAAAGGCTCCCATTGGCCCCTGGCATGCCACACTCCCCATACACTTACCTTTTGGGGGTGTGGATATGACAGGAGCCAATCACATTAGTTTAGAAGCTATTTAAACTTACCTCTCCCTTTACTCCCTGCCCTATCGTGGTTTCTGTTTCAGTTCCCTTTAGCGCTTGTTGTGTTCAGTTGTGTTTTCTCCGTATTGACTTTGGCTTTGTTTCTGACTACATTTTCTCTTTATCCTTAACTGTTCTGGTTGTCGGCTTCCTGTTTACTGTGTACCAGACCCCGGCTAGTCCTAGTTTCCACTGTCTCTCTGTGTCCTTGACTTCCGATCGTTCCTGACTCTGCCTCCTCTCATATACGTCGAGTCCGGCCATTCTAAGGTCCGGTAGACGTATCTCTCCTCTGTGTTGTCTTCTGTTTAGCTGAATCCTGCGTGTTGGGGTATATTCTCGTTACAGACTCTTCTCCACATTCAGCTCTCAGCCTCCTCCAAACCCACAACACTCAGGTACTAGACACTCAATGAGGGACAATACATTACCTTTATCATGTTTGCATTCCTAAGTGTCTGGTTATGTTTCATTCCTGCTTACCTTAGCGCAGAAGGCAAAAATCTAGTCATTGTTGAAAATCTAGTCATTGCCTCTCACACACATATCACTCCCACAAACCTCATTTTACAGAACAGAGTCCAAGGCTCTACGAATAGGCCTAACCTGAACTCTTGTCTAGTACCCTAGGCAAACAATCTGACTCTGTGCACAATACAATTCCTTGAGGTGATTATTTGAGAGAGACAGTTTTGCAAGGAATGGTTCCATGATGGGAAGACGTCGATTGGCAAATTGTTTTGGGACAAAGAAGGTGTTGAATACATTATCTTAGACAGATACTATGTCAATCTATCTCAGATTACTGCTTCTTTTACTAATTTTGATAATGTCCAAAATATTTGTTTGAGATAAATTTTAATTCTCATTCTGTAAACGCATATCTGTTAAATAAACACTGCTTATTGTTTCCTTATTGTTACTTTCATGCAAGGGTGTTCATCAGCATTTGACTGTCTTGCAATGCAGTCATTTGAACCTGACACAAGATGTAGTTAAACTGATTACTGCAATTAACATACAACACACTGGAAAGAGTGGCATTGATTATTGACATTGTAATCAATGTAATGACATTTCTAAAATCAATTAAATAAGAAGAGAGAGTTTGATACATTTTTCCAGCTGACCAGTGTACTCAGATTCTCTGTGTTGGACTATTTATTGCTCATTCAGCTTTCATTTACCAAAATGAAGCAGCTAGTTAGTAAACTACAGAGTAAAATATTATTTCTAACATACACACAAGTAATTTACTAAAGTGAGAATTTGAAAGTGAATTTAAAATTTAAGGTCAAAAGAGAGAAACAGGAAGACTTAAATTTGAAATTCAGTGTTTTCTGTGTAATATGTGACAAGATGTACATACTGCTGCCATCTATTGACAGATTGTGTGTAAGCATGTATCACAAGACTACCAATAGATTTCAATAAAAAATGAATATCATGATCTGAATAACAATTTCAATGGAGAATGTTAAATCATCTAAATAGAGAGAAATGTAATTAACCACTCAAGCCAGGTCTGGTATGCGATGTCATGCATGATTATGCGAGAGTTTAAATTTATACACTTATCAACAGGTGCTGGCAGGAGCATAGCGCTAAACATTCTACCATACATGGAAGAAGTGGGGTCATGGAGAAGGGGAGTTTGGAAATTAGCACAGAAAGACACACTGACAAGCTGAGTAAGGGAAAAAAACAAAACGTAACCTCATAATTAACAAAAAAAAATCCACACGATGAATCCGGACCTCAATTATGGTGTCACTGAGTCCAATGCATCCACCATAATACACAAACAAAGGCACAGGAATCATTTAACAATAGCAGATTTATTGGAGCAACGTGATAATTGTTTGGATTTATAAAGGCTCTTTGACCAGCCAAAAGGTTGCTCCCATAAATCTGATATTCCTAAATGATTAGTGTGCCCATTTCCTTTGTTTGTGTCTCATGAACATAATAACCAATGTCACTGCTGACACAGAGGACTAGAACAAGTGCTTGCAAGTCTGAAGACTGTCCTTGTCTCTTTGATGATATGTAGGAATAGTAAGTGGAGCTCTAAGATATGCTTCAAATACCTATTTTGCCAGTTTGAGGAATTAGTTAAATGAAAATCTGCAAAGATGGTATCCTGGCACCAGGACTGCTTCAATATGATAAACTACTTTTGATGCCTAGAGTATCTTTTCGATATCTATCAAAGGCTAAGTTCATGTTCTGAACTGTGTATACAGTATTCAGGATGGGTGTAATTAAGATACAAAGGGCTCACCTGCTTCCTGCAACAGAGAGTGTCATTCAGATCAGTGTTCTATAACTAGATATTGAGTGGAAGTGTGTATTTAATGTTAAAGTCAAGGAATGGTTTTAGAGTCAGCTTCTAGTTGAAGGTGTTCCTGCTCATAATAATTATCAGAACTCACTTATTAAATAAACTACTCCACAATTATTTTCATGTAGACTTGTGCACTGTGAGAAAGTTTGTTGCGACCAAACCATTTTTTTGGCCATTTCGACCATATGTCGGTCCCACTTGGCAGGTTTTGGGAAAGAAAAAATTATGCTGGAAATGAATCAGATGAATCAAAAAGACGTGAAAATAGACCATCAATGTAGTGCACAATATATACATCATAAAAATATTATATGTATGTGTTTTACAGTATACAGATTAGTGCATTTTCCACTATTTGGCTCACAGAAAATGTAGCCAATATAGTAAAAAACAGAGCAGTAAAAAAAAATAAAAAATCTACATTTATATTTTATATATTTATTAAAAATATAATATATTAAACTAGTGCAAAGTGTGATTGTTAGGCTCTTCAGAACAAAATTTTCTTAAGCAAGTTTTTCCATATTGCAAACATCTGACACTCGGCAATGTGCTAGTTCTGTTCAGCCAATATTTAGTTGTGAAAACTGATTGAGACAAACCAAATTTTTGGGTGCCACATGGATTAATCATGTGGCAACTGGCCATTCCTTGCTAGCCAGCCTCTGGTGTGTTATTAAAGAGTCACAGTGCCAATCTAGATGGCCCCAAATTGAAGAAGCCCACTGGGTTGTACTAAGTTGAAGGGCTACTTGATACCCACCAGCTTGTGGACCCCAGTGCAGTCACTCAGCTTAACCTGTGGCAGCTTAACCTCATTCACTAGTTGGTATCTGATTCCCGTCTTGTCTGTATCATTTATCTAACAGACAGGGACGCAGAAGATACAATTCCACAAGATGAGAAATGACACATGTTTGGTGGAACAGCAACAAAATATAGTGTATATCAATGTCACTGCCATTCACCATAGAATGTCTCATATTGATTTCCCTCTAATCTGACAAAAAAATTAGAACCTTTCTGGCATACCATATTATGGTGGCTAAATACACATTATTGACCAGCAACTAGAATACCTCACAAGTACCCACACTAAAGTGAATTGTGAACTAATTGTAGGTATGAGAATATGTTGCTCACTCAGCCCTGGATCTAATTTGTGCTTTGGGTGTTGAACACATTTTCATTCAATTCACAATGCTCATCCAATTATAAGACATATTCTTATTATTTATAATTTAGCCTGAAGAAGAAAAAAAGTAAGGTATGGCAGATACGTAAGTGAAATGCTTTGATATGAATTTATTTAAGAAATAAATGCTGAATTTTAAAGTACTCTGTATAACATATACAGCATTGTAGCTCAAGCAGAATGAAGACAAGATGTCAATTAATTATTCCATTTAACTAGATGTGGATACATTATAAATGTTGCATCAGGGTTGCACAGAACTTGCTTCCATGCTTGCTACAATTATCCGGCAGTTCCATAATCGCAAAATACTCTTTTGCTGTTATTAACATTACTTATATTTAAGTTATGTTTGTTTCCCTCTTACATACTGCTTTGTGTTCATATCTGGTCTGAACAAGATAATGTAACATTTAGGGAAAAATAGACATGAAAGCAAGCCTGTGCTGGAAGCTAGTATTGCAAAAACTTCAACAATGACTAGATTTTTGCCTTCTGCGCTAAGGTAAGCAGGAATAAAACATAACCAGACACTTAGGAATGCAAACATGCTAAAGGTAATGTATTGTCCCTCATTGAAGCTATCAGGTAGTTTCCTGGATAGAAATGCAACCACAAAGCTTACAGTGGCTAAGACACTCATATAACCCAACATGCTGTAAAAAAATATGTTGGAACCTTCATTACACTCAGCCAGTATTATATCAGATTTAACTCTCATATTTAACTCAGGAAATGGAGGAGATATTAAAAGCCAGAACATGCAAATAAGAACCTGCAGAAATGGGCAAAACAAAATTACAATATTCGACATCTTGGAATCAAACTGTTTTCCCATCGAGCCAGGCTTTGTGGAATTGAAGATCAGAATGACAGTGATAGTTTTGGCCAACATGCACGAGACTACAATGGAAAAGGTAATCCCAAAGATACTTTGTCGCAGTAAGCAAGTCACTGGAAGAGGATAACCAATAAACATGAGAGCAGACAGGAAGCAGTAAGTAAGAGCCACCAGAATGGCATAACTTATGTTTCGATTGTTAGCTTTTACAACTGGAGTTTCAGAATATGTTTTAAAAATACACACAATAGATATAGTAACAACAGAGAATGTGACAGAAGTAGCAGCTAAAGCAAAGCCCATAGTTTCCTCAAAAGACAAAAACTGGATAATCTTCGGAACACAGTCAACTTGATTTTGGTTTGGCCATTGGTCTCCTGGACATTTTATACAAACAGTTGCATCTAAAAAAAATAAATAAAACAAATATATAACTCATGTACCAATATATTGATAAAGTGTATGAAAATGTGTAAATGTATTGAAAATATGTAATTCAATAATTATTTATGAAGAATTCACAAGAAAAGATATTGGGAAACAATAGATGCATTCATGCAACATTAGTGTGAAAAGTGACAGAAGGCATAACTAATAGGAACCAAACTGTCCATATCCATCTTTATTCATCCAACTCAGCATTGTCTTTTAAAGACAGGAGGTGGAACCGGAAAATACACATTGATGCCTTCTGCCTGCTATAGAAAACAATGTACAAAAAGAATAGGGAATATAGAACTGATAGATAGTACTATATTTATATAGAACTGTCCTTCTGATAGAACATAAACCTGCTCTCACCCTATACTACTAGGACAGCACACCACAAATTCAAAGCTAAGGGCAAATTCATTCAGTTTTCTCAGCTTGTCTCCTAAGCTGTCGCTATGGAAAATGCACTAAAATAATGGCAGCAGCTGCAAATAACAGGCATTGCCTGGGAGTAAAACATATGTATGCCCAGCTCAACTCTGAAACTAAAGGAACCCTAAGTCTAACCTTAGCCATAGCCTTTGCCATAGCCCTAAACTTAACCATTAACGTAACTCTAAAACAAGATCTATTACAAATAATATGTAAGATACCGTAAAGCATGTTTTTAATGAACACTTCAAGGTCCTTAACAGTGCTCTTGTTAGTAGTCAAACTCTTTAGTAAATGCTTGACCTGGGGTCCTCTGCATGCCACTCTCTTGCTCTTCTCAGCTTCCAGGAGATCCAGAGTGTCATACTAACCTGTGCCCGAGCTACCCGATCTGGCGGCGGACAGATGTCCACGTCTATTTGTGTGAAGTCACACCAACATCATTACAGTGCAATTCGAAGTGCCGAACCAATCGGTTCGCACGAACAGAAACTCACAAATTCTGCATTAAGTCGAATTCGGGTCTTTAGGTGCTCTACAGTGAGGCAGACCAATGGTGCTAGTTATAAAGCCAGGACTTTTCAGTAGCAAGTTGCCTTGTTGTGGTTCCTGCATACCCAAGAGTGTGCTTTATATATATTTGGATTTCTTGTTACTTTGTTACTAACATTGGCTTGTTTATCATTTCTCTGCTTTCTGTGTTCCTGACCGTGGCTTGTGTTACCGTTTTTGCTGTA